TGATTTATAATTGATTAGGACCAGCAGGTAGAGTGCACTCAGTGATTTTAGTTCATGTAAACATGCAGATTTTTCCCCTCCGTGACTAATCGATTGGTTCAAGCATTCTCTTCGGTTGACTGCAGCCCTAGTGCATGATTACCTCTTATTACCATCTTATTCTAGCAGGTCAACATGCAAATTAGCACAAAACACACACAGTACAACTGAGTCATCCTATAAGTGATGCAGCGACTGTACCATGATGGTGTCGTAGGCTCCGGTGATGAGCGCGATGAAGAGCGACAGCACCATGTAGATGAAGAGCGAGATGAAGGTGTAGAGATAGACCTGGCTGAAGATCCACACCAGCGTGCCGCTCTGCTCCATCTCGGCGAACGTCACGAACATGTCGTCTCCGTTGATGAGGGAGAAGAGGCACTCGGACACGGTGGACAGCGAGCGGAACTGCACACCAGAGGTCAGAGTCATTTACATAGAGGACTGTTTAGTTAACTGGACTCTAAAGTTTTACCAGTTTGTTTCATCCCACATAACACTGCAAGCAGAAAGACATCACAACGCTGTCACCATTCATTATTAATAACTGTCAATTATCTGCTCATTAATTATACATAGCTACAAAAATGATCTGCTGGAGGGCATTTTATGATAATTACGCCGCTCTGACATGCGCTTGTGCTTTGACTGACTCATGCCTGCTGTGTGAGCACAATACCTTGGTGTGATAGGGCCCCAGCACGATCCAGCCGCAGAAGCAGTATCCCAGATAAATGGCAGCCGCACAGCAGCAGAAGCGGATAACGTTGGGAAAGGCAGCTCTTAGAGTCACGATCAAGATCTGTTGGGGGGTGAAGAGAAAGTAAATACAATCGGCCTTAAAACAACAGCAAGACATGCAAACTAAATCAAGAGATGAAACAAAAACACCCCAAACATGTGGGTTTCACGTACGTTGTATTTCTGGAAGAAGCTGAGGTAGCGGATGACTCCCACCCACACCAGCAGGGTGGAGGTTCCCAGCAGGATCCCGCACACGTCGTATGACGACAACGTCTGCATCACAAGGGAGCCGTCAGTCAGCAACAACTTTACTTAACCTTTATTTTACCAGGTAAGTTAATTGAGAACTGGTTCGACCCGGTTAAGAGGCGGCATACAAACGAGATGAGCAGCAACAACCGATCACATGTGCAGGAACTCACACAATAATACAAAACAGGTGCAGTGATCCTCAAGTGTTGCTCTAACTCAGGGGTGTCCAATCCTGGTCCTCGAGGGCCACATGTCCTGCATGTTTTAGATGTTTCTCTCTTCCAACACACCTGATTCAAATGATCAGCTCATCATCAAGCTCTGCAGAAGCCTGATAATGATCCTGACCATTTGAATCAGGTGTGTTGGAAGAGGGACACATCTAAAACATGCAGGACATGTGGCCCTCGAGGACCAGGATTGGACACTGATTACGTAAGCGACGAGAGCGGTACGTATGAGGTGAGTTTTAGGGAGAGAGTTCCAGTCATTAGCAGCAGAAAACTGGAGTGAGGATCGACCAGGAATTTGGGAATGTGACGGTTAATGAGACTCGAGTTTATGAATGGTAAGCAATGATACGGTGGCGTTTCACCAGTGAGGGTTTCAGAAACCAGTGTGACTGTCTACCTTGGACTCAATCCCGATCTTGATGAAGCTGCCGACGATGGTGAACATGTCGCTGATGATGAGCAGGATGTACCAGCCGTTGATGAACTCCATCCGGTCTCCCCAGCTCACGCTGCGGCCGAGTTTGTGCTTGAAATACTGCACGTACTCCTGGGTGGGGAGACGATGAGCAAGATGAGAAGCTGTTAATGGCAGATAAAATATAAAATGCAGCCAGTGTGGTCCTTTAACCCTATTCAGGACTTTCTTGTTGCCATACGTAGAAGGTCTTTGGCGTCCATTGGACTCCAAGAAAGAATATGTGCGACACATTTGTTGGTATTCACTTTTATACTGTGTTAAATACATTTTCTGATAAGTTGCCGTATTTTGGTTCCAAATGCATGACAAATGTCCCTCAACAGACCCAAAAAGTCCTGAATAGGGCTGGAGGTGATACTGTGATGCTGTAAACGGGGAGATTTTGAGCTGCTTTCACGTGTTCTTATTGCGTGTGTGATTATTAACGGCATTATGGCATCATCACGGGGTAACAGCGTTCACACCGGAGGGTTTGAATCGGTTATAACCTCGTCACAACTGTGCAGAACAAACCACCACATCTCCTCATGATTGCATATAATGTGAATTCTGAACAAAAACCTCTATAATCATGTTCTCAGTCATGACTAACGTCTCCAGCATGGCACTGCGATGGTTCAACGTGTACCCGATGTAGCCGGACGTTGTCAAAAACACGACATCCAACCAGAAACGTTGGCTGCTCACGTCCATGTTTGTGCTGCTGTCTTTAGCCCCAGCAAAGACAGACACCACAGTGGAATGAAGTGAAACCGAGTGATAAATATAGTGAATTGACATCTGAGATCCTTCTGTTGTACCCGCAGTCATAACCAGCGCTTACAAACGCAGACATTGTTCTTCACACTGAGATAACTCTTCACCTTTTCCACTTTGACCTTTCAGCCTAATCAGCGTCTGACCCACACGTGGCGTCACCGCCAAGGGACATCATGATGCTGGCTTGTCGGAGGACAGCAAACAAGTGCGTCTCTGTAGCCTCTGCCTAATTCCCATAATCCTTCACTGTGCGCACAAGTAGAGCTACACAAACCGACGCCAACGCAGAACCACAAATCCATCTTAAGTTGATAAACGGCAGCTTTGTTGCAACGTTACTGATAAAGTTTTACACATCCTGTTCAGAGACTGATTTAAACCTGCCAAAGTTATGAATAAATGGTCCCCATATTTTCAGTTAAAGGTACCCTGTGGAGTTTTTTAACCACTATGGAGCAATGTTTTTAGTCTAACATGACGACCACACAGATTCTTGCAAGTAGGTTCACATTAATCTAACATTTTTCTTCCATAAGAAAACTCCACGGGGCGGCTTTAACCTTTTATCGGGCTATGAACCATATGGGGTAACATCCGAAGGCTTTAAAAACGGCAGAATCACGTGACTTCATCCAGCCAATCAGCGAAGGTCAGGCTACATCACAACACAGGCCTCTGACCAATCAGAGTGAGTCAGAGCGATGTTCTGACACTTAAGTTCTGTAAGTCTGACTCATGTTGGGAAATAAATGTTCCTTCATCTTTACATGTCTATGTTTTCCAATAATTTATCCACATGTTAGTTGGATTTTTTTTTTATTTTACCCAAGGTGGACGAGGAATCAAAACTTTTTTTTTAAAAAAGTCCCCCCAAAAAATGTCCTCCTATATCCACTGATAGCACTCCAGGGTTTAAATCTCCAAGTATTTCAATGCAGCGCCCCATAACGGGTTAATGTCTGTGGATTAAACTGATCATCTCGTCACAAAGCAACAGTCTGCTTGGAAACTTTCCATCCTGGCATTCACCTGGATGTTCCTCTGACTCGTACCACCTGACAAGCCCCGCCTCCTCCCTACAGCATCCAGAGGAAGTGCTGGAACCAGAGTCACACAGACAGGCTAATCTCTACAATGTTGTGTCAGCGTTGGAGAATGATC